CAGTAAACAAATATTGCGTTAATATAGAAACTACGCATGCGTTAAACATGCGCACCTCATGGCAGCGGGCCAACGCAGCATGCGACCAGATCGCGCTCCACACGTTGAAGCCTTGCCTGGCCGCTCCGAGTCTACAGTTCAGCTCCGTGCTGCTCCGGCCATCTGCGGACAGCACCGCGCTTATAGGGGGCTACATGCAAACCCTACCCCACCCTCCCCCTCAGGCCCCTCAGAAATCCTGGGGGGCAGGGGTAGGGTCCGCATGTGGCCTCCTGGCCATCGGTGCCCTCCGCAGCATCTTCCGGCAATCGGTGGGGAGCGCGCGCGCTCCCCCGCAGCGCACGCAGCCGGGCGTAAGTCCTTGCGGGCCTCGGCGTGGCGTGCGCTGTCTTCTCGCAGCTCCTCGGGACCATGGGCCTCGAGCCTCTGTCGGGCCGGGCGAAAGGGGGGGATTGGGAAAGGTGGGGGTGCGAAATGTGCTGCATGCAGCTGGTTTCGGCCCCGCCGACAAGCCCCTTCCTCGATATACGTAGCCGCCTCCGGCGCCGGGAGGCGCCGGGAAAATCAGCTACGTGAGCGGATTCTCACCCCCCCCCTTTACTATACCCCCCCTTTCGCCCGACCCGACTCTTCCTCGATACGTGGCCCTCCCGGCGCCGGGAGGCGCCGGGAAAGTCAGCCACGTAAGCGGATTCTCACCCCCCCCTTTGCTATCCCCCCTCCCCTTTCGCCCGACCCGAGTCTCGAGCCTCTGGGGGCCTGGCTCGGGCTGCCCACGCTGCGCGCCGGTGGCCGAGTGCTCGGCCTGCCTGGCGTGCGCCCCGGCGGTCACCTGCCCGCCGAGCCCCGCCGCGCCACTCGTGCCCGGCCCCAGAGATCAAACGTAGTGACAAAAATCAGGAGGGAGGTTTTTCGTAAATGTTTCGGCCTCGAGGGGCCCTCGCCTGGCCCCGGGACCGTCAGAAAACGACTCAGGATGAGAGACCGGCCCCGGGGGAAGGGTCGAGACTTCTGGGGACCACGTATGGAAAAAATCACGACATCGGATCTCAGGGGCGTTCCCAGCGGACTTCCACTGCCACTGCTCTTGCCCGGCCGGGGCGCAGGTGGCAGACCAGGGGGGGCCATGCACGGCCCGGCCGCGTGGATTGCCGGTGCCCGGCCGAGCCCGCGCGGGTTCGGTGCCCTTCGCGGCGGGCGCGGCCAGCGGCGCCACCGTCGTCCTGCTGGCGTGGGGTCGGTGATGCTCGCGGCGCTGGCAGCCCTTGAGAGCTCCTCGCGCTCGGTGGCGGGCGGGGCGCCCGCGGCCCTCGGAGGCCCGGGAGCGGGCGAGGCCGGCGCGGCTCGTGGCGGCGGCGAGCGAGGCCGACGGCCTGGCGCTCCCGGAGCTGTCTTCCTCCTCCTCCTCCTCCTCCTCCTCCTCCTCCTCCTCCTCCTCCTGTTTCTCCTCCTCCTCCTGTTTCTCCTCCTCCTCCTCCTCCTCCTCCTCCTCCTCCTCCTCCTCCTCCTCCTGCGGTGGCCGAGTGGAGGCCGAGGCGGCCCAGGCTCTGAGCCTAGGTGGCGTCGGCGCTGGACACTCCCGAGCTGCGGGTGGCGGTGAGGCACCGGGACGATCCCAACTTCGAGTGCCACTGGCGGGTTTTGGTGGTCAGGATCGCCGACGCGCGTTGGGCTGGTGCGACGCCCGACCTGCACACCCAGATCATCGACCCCGGGGAGCGGCACGTCATCCCGCTCACGCGGGGTCGGCCTGTGCCGGCGCGGGTGAGGGCGAGCTATTATGGGCCCGACGTGCTGACGGACCAGCAGCTGGCGGAGATCCGTCGGGAGCGCGCGGCGTTGGCCATGATCAATGGCTCTGCCGCTGGGGCTCAGGGCGCCGCGGCCTCGGCCGCAGAGTGGAGGTTCTCGGACACGGCTTGCTCGAAGTTCGGGGAGGTGGTTGACTCGGCGGTCCTGGCCAATCCGAACAAGTTCGTGCCCAGAGACGCCACCGCGCTGGTGCGGGTCGAGATCGACGGCGAGACCATCTGGACGACAGCAGAGCGCCTGGCCCCAGAGCACTCGGACGAGTGGAAGGACGAGAAGAGGACAGGGCCAGGTCGCGACCCGAGGATCCTCCCTGTCGAGCGCGACTCAACTCGGGGACGGTATCGGGAGCTGCGTTCGGCGATGGGGGAGATTTTTCTTGGATTGACCCCAAGAAGCTGGAGTGGGACTGGCCTTTCGAGGGGCCCTCGGCTGTGAAGGAGCTCCTTCACGCTGTGCGGGCCTCTAGCGAGGGGCTGGGCGTCTTCCGCGAGTCTCCATGTGCACGGGTTCGGCTCTTGGGCATCTCGCGGCAGCCTCCTCTTCCGATGGCCTTAAGCCTCGTCGTCGTCATGTGTTCGATCCGCTCGAGCTCGTGTCGCAACCCAAGGGCATCAGGTTAAATGGCAAGGCGGCCGCTGGAGTTGCCTTGCGTGTGGCCGTATTTGGAAGTCTCGAGCCCTTTCTGCTCAGTCGAGGTGTCCTGGGGTCCCTGCTTAGCTCGCTCAGGCGCACTGGTCTCACAGGCTCCTGTGGCCGGGTGGCCCCGCAGCGCATGTGGCGCTCAGGCATGGAGACGGATCCTTGCGCTTTCGATGCGCCGCGTGGGGTACCTGGCAGTGGGCCGAGCTGGGGCTTTGGAGGGCCTGAAGCGGGGCCAGGAACCTACCTCCAGGCAGCCCGTCCCTCGGTCCAGCCCCGTGGTGCCCCCGCCGCAGACGCGCCGCGTCGGTTGGGCCCAGGGGCTCCGAGGAGATCATGGCCGAGAGTCGGGACGTTTGCTTGGGAGGATCGTGAGGAGGAGGAGGAGGAGGAGGAGGAGGAGGAGGAGGAGGAGGAGGAGGAGGAGGAGGAGGAGGGAGGAGGAGGAAGGAGGAGGAGGAGAGGAGGAGGAGGAGGAGGAGGAGAGGAGGAGAGGGGGAGGAGAGAGGATCATTGGAGATTGTCGGATCGGAGCAGGAGGAGGGGGAGGGGGCAAGCTAGGTGCGCTCGCGTCATATCTGACGTCCTACCCCTCCCTCCCATCCCTTACCATGGCGCTGATTTTCTCTATCCGCGGACGCGTGTCGTAGCGGACCTGTGGCTCGCGCGCGCGTGCGTAGTGGGTGGTGGTGCACGTGCGTGCGTGCGTGCGCGCGTGCTGGTGTGGTGCTGGTGCTGGTGCTGGTGCTGGTGCTGGTGCTGGTGCGTGGTGCTCGTGCTCGTGCTCGTGCTCGTGCTGGTGGTGGTGCTGGTGCTGGTGGTGGTGGTGGTGGTGGTGGTGGTGGTGGTGGTGGTGGTGGTGGTGGTGGTGGTGGTGGTGGTGGTGGTGGTGGTGGTGCGGCGCGGTGGTGGCGGGCGGATGGGCGCGCGAGAAAGAGGCCCGCGCTGGGGCGAGAACGCCATCCTGAACGACGGAGGCCAAACACCGATCCGAAAATGAGGCCCACGCTGCAGCGGGAGCACGATTCGGAACGATTCGGGAGCAGAAATGAGGCCGGCGCCTCAGCGAGAGCATCATAAAAAAAACGCAGGCGAAAACCCGTTTCCCGGGAATCCTGTGTGTAAAAAAACAGTACGCGGGGGGCGTTCGGCCCGAAAATGACGCCGGCGCCTCAGCGAGAGTCGTTTCCCGGGATTTCCCGGGCATCCTGTGTGTAAAAAAATCAGTACGCGGAGAATGCGCGGCCATCACCCGGACGCCATCAGGGGAAGAGGGAGAGTATTTTCATATTGAGTAATTGTGGAGGAGGAGGAGGAGGAGGAGGAGGAGGAGGAAGGGACGACGAGGAGAAGCAGGAGCAGGAGCAGGAGGAGGAGGAGGAGGAGGAGGGGGAGGATCATTGGAGATTGTCGGATCGGGGCGCGGGCCTTGGTCCTCTCTTTCGCCTGTTTCGCGCGCGTCGGGGCCTGTGGTTTGCGGCGGTTCCGCCCGGGCCACCGTCAGGGGGAGGAGTGCGGAAGAGGAGGAGGGAGCTTTTCGAGCAGTGGCGAAGTGTCTTGGCTCGCCCACAAGGGGCCCACCAAAGGATTTTCTAAGAATGTGTTGTGGTCTGCTCGGAATGTTCGTAGAGAGTTCCTGGCCGAGACTTGTTTTCGCGCATCGGGCTTATGTTCTAAGAACACCGCTTTTGATTTCAGAACATGTTTGGGTTCTGCAGACGTGTCGTGGCAGGCCTACAGGAATGCTGGGACGGTCAGTCCCTGCTCAAGATTTGCCCACCTTCGCCTTCGCCGCCGCACGCTTGTAGCAGCCCCTCTCCCTTCCTCCCATGGCTTGGTTGCTGGACTTCCATTCTCCCCGCCGTGTTGCCGTTCCCCCCTTGCCCCGCCCCCTTGCTTATAGGTTTGGCCTTCAGTCTGAGAGCTACTTCCCTCCCTCTTCCTCAGCGTCGGCTGAGGGCGGGGTCATCGATGGTGTCGGCCCACGCGGACGAACTCGCCACCAACGACAGCGGCAGGGAGGCAGGCACAGAGGTAGGGAGGACGGACGACGGAGAAGAAAGAAGGAAGGATGGGGGAGGAGGAGAAGGGAGGACTGGCAGGATCGAGGACTGTGTTTGACGTGTTTGCCGTTTTTTCCCCACTCACTCCCCGTTTCCTTGCCATTCGCCCCGCTCACTGAAGCCAACGAGACAGCAAAGCCAACGAGACAGCAGACTCACATGGGGGGAGAGAGAGTGTGTGTGTGTGAGACATAACAAGACACCTTGACAGATATCCTTGTGTATAACTGCCGTGTGGAAGAGAAAGAAGGATAGAAAGAGAGAGAGGGAGACAACAATACGTGCAGAACATGTTGCTGTATACGTGTACTTTCAGATGTACCCGTGAGGAACGGGATGAAGAGATAAAGGGAGAAAGGGAGACAGAGAAATGGAGAGAAAAAGAGAGAGAGAGAGAGGAAGAACACAACCAAAGAAACAGAGAGAGAGAAAGAGAGAGATAACGCGAGGGGCCGCCAGGCGACCCCGCGCACGCTGCCCCCGGAGCTGGCGGCCGCGACGCACTCGGAGCTGTGCGGCGGCCAAGGTGGCCGTCCGCGCCTCCCCCCCCCCACGAGCGGCCCCCGTTTCTGACCGCCGTCGGGTGCGCATTTGGCCCCGTGCCGCCCCCGCGCCTCTTCGAAACATCCACGCGTGTATGAATGTGTGTGTTGTTGTGTGTTCTTGTGTGTGTGTGTGTGTTTTGTGTGTGTGTGTGTGTGTGTGTGTGCGTGCGTGCGTGCGTGCGTGCGTGTGTGCGTGCGCGTGCGCGTGCGTGCGCGTGTGTGTGTGTGTGCGTGTGCGTGTGCGTGTGCGTGTGCGTGTGCGTGTGCGTGTGCGTGTGCGTGTGCGTGTGCGTGTGCGTGTGCGTGTGCGTGTGCGTGTGCGTGTGCGTGTGCGTGTGCGTGTGCGTGCGTGTGCGTGTGCGTGTGCGTGTGCGTGTGCTTGTGCGTGCGTGCGTGCGTGTGTGTGTGTGCGTGTGCGTGCGTGCGTGCGTGTGTGTGTGTGTGCTGTGTGTGTTTTTGTGTGTTTTTGTTTTTGTATGTGTGTGTGTGTTTGTGTGTGTGTGTGTGCGTGTGAATAGTGTTGTGTGTGTTGTGTGTGGGTTTGTGTGTCTGTGTGTGTTTTTGTTGTGTGTGGTTGTGTGTGTGTGTGTCTGTATGTGTGTTTATGTGTGTGTTGTGTTGTGTGTGTGTTTGTGTGTGTGCGTGTGTTTGTGTGTTGTCGTGTGTCTGTGTGTGCGTGTGTGTGTGTTTGTTGTGTGTATGTTTTTCTGTGTGTGCGCGTGTTTGTGTGTATTTTTGTGTGTGTGTGGTTTTGTTTGTGTTTGTATGTGTTTGTGTGTGCTGTTGTGTGTCTGTGTGTTTGTGTGTGTGCTTTTGTGTGTGTGTCTTTTTCAATGTGTGTTTGTGTGCGTGTGTCTGTGTTTGTGTGTGTGTTTGTGTGTGCTTGTGTGTGCGTGTGTTTGTGTGTGGTTGTGTGCGTTTGTGTGTTTGTGTGTGTTTGTGTGTTTGTGTGTCTTTTCATATTGTGTATGTGTGTGCTGTTGTGTGTGTGTTTGTGTGTGTGTTGTGTGTACGTTTGTGTGTGTTGTTGTGTGTCTGTGTGTGTCTTTGTGTGTGTGTGCGTGTGTTTGTGTGTGTTCTTGTGTGTGTGCGTGTGTTTGTGTGTGTTTTGTGTGTGTGTGTGTGTGGTTGCGTGTGTTTGTTTGTGTGTGTGGTTGTGTGTGTTGTTGTTGTGTGTATGTGTGGGTTTGTGTGTTTTGTGTATGTGTTTGTGTGTGTGTGTCTGTGTGTGTGATTGTGTGTGTTTTGTGTGTGTGTGTGTGTGTTTCTGTGTGTGTGTTGTGTGCGTGTGTCTGTGTGTGCGTGTCTGTGTTTTTGTGTGTTTTGTGTTATGTGTTTGTGTGTGTGTTTGTGCGTGTGTCTTCGCATTGCGTGTGTTGTTGCGTGTGTATTTGTATGTGCTGTTGTGTGTGTCTTTGTGTGTGGTGTGTGTGTGTGTTTTTGGTATGTGTGTGTGTTTTTGTGTGTTTGTGCGTGTTTGTGGATTTGTGTGTGTGTTTGTTTTTGACTCACGCATGTCGCGCCGCTAGCACTCGGCCTGGGGAATTCTCAGCCTTCAGCTACTTGCTGCGCCGCCCCTTTTGGCGCCGTCTGGCCCCCCAAGACCACCGCCGCCCTGCCGCCGACCACTGCCTGATTGCGGCTCCCAGGCTTTCGCCCTCAGTCCCTGGCGTCTGTTGGTGTCCGTGCTGGCTCCTTTGAGCCTGGTGAGGCAACCCTGGCGTCCCGGTGGCTCTCACGTCGACCAGCTCCAGCTAGCATGCTCGCAAGTTCCTGGCCCCCAGTCCCCAGACACTGCCACAGTTTTGGCCGTGTTTGCAGCTGCCGCCTTGCAGTGGTGGGATGCACCTCCACGCGGATTACTCATGAGCGGTTTGGCCTTCTTGTTCAACCATTTGAGGTTGCCACTGTTGGCATGCGACACAGGTACGCTGAGCTGCTTGTTCAGCCCCACGCTATGCCGTGCTTTGCTCGGGTGGCTCGTTTACCTCTGGGGCCTGGCGCGACAAGGTACAATTCGTTTGCCTTCTCGGCGGCCTCGCCCCTGGAACGGTTGCACTTCAGCCGCCCGGCACACCTGGCACCTTTTGCAGCTCTGCCCTCAGTCCCCGGCGTCGCTCCTCGGCGACAGTTTCGGCGGCCGTTAGTTCGCGCGCTTAGGGAATTAGGTTTGGCTCGTAACCCGGGCTGACTTCGGATGCCGCCTGCGCTCCCGCATGCGGCCGCGACGAAAAGTGTGCGTGTGTGTGTGTGTGTGTTTGTTTGTGTTTGTGTGTCTGCGTGTGTGTTTGTGTGTGTTTGTGTGTTCGTGTTTTGGCGTAGGTGTGTGTGCGTGTGTGTGTTTATATGTGTGTGTGTGTTTGTGTGTGTTGGTGTGTGCGTGTGTGTGTTTTTGTGTGTGTTTTGTTTTTTATGTGTGTGCGTGTTGTTGTGTGTGTGTGTGTTTTGTTGAGTGTGAGTGGGTTGTTGTGTGTATGTGTGTTTTGGTTGTGTGTGTGTGTTTGCGTGTGTTTGTATTTTTTTGTGTGTGTGTGCGTTTGTGTTTTCGTGTGTGTGTGTGTGTGTTTGTGTGTTTGCGTGTGTTTTTTTTGCGTGTGCTTGTGTGTGTGCGTGTTTTGTGTGTGTGTGTGTGGGTCTGCGTGTGTGCGTGTCGTTGTGTGTTGATTGTGTGTGTGTGTGTTTGAGTGTGTATGTGTTTTTGTGTGTGTGTGTGTTTTTGTGTGTGTGTTGTTGCGTGTGTGTGTGTGTACGTGTTTGTGTGTTTTGTGTGTTTGTGTGTGTTTTTGTGTATGTTATCGGTGGTTGCGTGTATGTGTGTGTTCGTGTGTATATAATTATGCGTGTTTGTGTGTGTTTTTGTGTGTTGGGCGTGTGTGTCTGAGTGTGTTGTTTTTGTGTGTACGCGTGTGTGTATGTGTATTGTTTGTGTGTGGGGTTGAGAGTTCGTGTGAATGTTTATGATTGGTTGTGTGTGTATGTGTTTGGATATGTGTTTTGTTCGGTGTGTGTGTGTGTTTGTGTGTATGTTTGTGTGTGATTGTGTGTGTGTGCGTTTTGTGTGTGTGTTTTCGTCTGTATGTGATTTTTATTGTGTCTATGTGTTTGTGTTTGTGTGTGTGGTTGTGTGGGGGGGGGGGGTGTTTGTGTGTGTGTTTTGTGTGTATGTTGTGGGTGTGTTTCTGTATGTGTGTGTGTGTGTGTTTGTGTGTGTGTGTTTTCGTGTGTGTGTGTGTGCGTGCTGGAAAGTGTGCTTGCGTGTGTGGTTTAGTGTGTGTGTGTGTTTGTGTAGGTTGTTGTGTGTGTGTTTTTGTGTGTGTGTGTCTGTGTGTGTGTTGAATGTTGTGTGTGTGTTTTTGTGTGTGTGTGTGTGTTGTTGTGTGTGTGTGGTTGTGTGTGTGCGTGTGTGTTTGTGTGTGTGGTTTTGTTGTGTGTTGTGTGTTTGTGTTTGTATTTGTGTGTGTGTGTTTTGAGTGTCTGTGTTTTTGTTTGGCTGTGTGTGGTTTTGTGTTTGTTTGTGTGGTTGTGTGTTGTTCTGTTTGTGAGTGTGTATGTGTGTTTGCGTGTGTGTTTGTGGTTTTGCGTGTTGTGTGTGTGTGTTTGTGTGTGTGTTTGTGTGTGTGCTTTTGGATATGTTTGACCCTGTGATTGTGTTTTTTTGTGTATGTGTGTGTGTTTGTGTGTGGGTTTGTGTGTGTTTGTGTGTGTGTGGTTGTGTGTGTGTGTTTGTGTGTTTTTGTCTGTGTGTGTTCTTGTGTCTGTTTGTGTGTGTCTTGGTTTGTGTATGTGTTTTCGTGTGCGTGGTTTTGTGTGTGTTTGTGTGTGTGTCTTTGCGTGTGTGTGTGTGTGCGTTTGTGTTTTTTGTGTGCGTGTGTATGTTTGTGTGTGTTTGCGTGTGTGTGTGGTTTGGTGTGTGTGTGCGTTTGTGTGAATGTTTTTGTGTGTGTGTGTTTGTGTGTTTGTCTGTGTGTGTTTTTGTGTGTTTTTGTGTGTGGTTGTGTGTGTTTGTGTGTTTGTTTGTGTGTGTGTTTTCGTATGTGTGTTTGTGTTTGTGTGAGTGTTTTTGTGTGTGTGGTTTTGTGTGTGTGTTTGTGTGTTGTGTGTGCTTTGTATGTTTTTTTTTATGTGTTTGTGTGTGTTTGTGGTGTGTGTATGTGTGTTGCGTGTGTTTGTGCGTGGTTCTTGTTTCTCTGTGTGTGTGTTTGTGTTTGTGTTTGTGTGTGTTTTTGTGTGTGTGTTTGTGATGTTTGTTGGTGTTTGTGTCTGTTTGTGTTTGTGTGTTTTTGTGTGTTGTTGTGTTCGTGTTTGTGTTTGTGTGTGTGTGTGTTTGCATGTGCTTTTGTATGTGTGTGTGAGAGTTTGTGTGTGTGTGTGTTTTTGTTGGCTCTGTGTGTGTGTGTTTGTGTGTGTGTTTGTGTGTGTGTTTTTTTGTACGTGTTCTTCCCCAATGAGAGCTTGCCTCTGTAGGGGTCCTAGCGGATTCATCTGGTTAAGTCAGGTTTGCCGCCGATTTTCGCCGCACGCCCGGGGGCCCGGGGGTGCCCGGGTGCCCGGGTGCCTGGGCGTGCCCGGGGGTGCCCGGGTGCCCGGGTGCACGGGTGCCCGGGTGCCTGGGCGTGCCCAGGGGTGCCTGGGGGTTCCCGGGGGTGGCATGTAGCCCAATAGCCCCATGGCCCTATAGCCCTACAACTCTATAGCCTTATAGCTCTATAGCCCTAAAGCTCAATAGCCCTATAGCCCCCTAGCCCTGTAGCCCTGATTGGGTTTCTCTCCGGTCTCATTGTGTGTGTGTGTGTTTTTTGTGTGAGTGTTTGTGTGTGTGTGTTTGTGTGTGTGTGTGTTTATGTGTTGTTGTGTGTGCGTCTGTGTGTGTTGTTTTGTGTGTATGCGTGTGTGTATGTCTCTTTGTGGGTGTGTGTTTGTGCCTGTGCCTGTGCCTGTGCCTGTGTCTGTGTCTGTGTCTGTGTCTGTCTGAATGTCTGTGTCTTTGTCTGTGTCAGTGCCTGTGTGCGTGTTTTCGTGGATGTGTGTGGTTTCCCACAGTTTGTTTTTGTCCACAGTGTGTTTTTCCACAGTGTTTTTGCACACACTGTGTTTTTGTCCACCGTGTTTTGTTTCCACAGACGTGTGTGTTTTTTCCCACCGCCCACCAGGCCACCCCAGCCCAGCCCGAAGGCCCCGATTTGCCCTCGATTGCTGCCAGTGGTCGGGGGGGGATCGGGGAGCGTGGAACACGAACACGTGTAAAGCCCGTGCCCCCTCCAGCCCGACCCGAAGTTCGGGCCTCTTCGGGTTGGGCGGGGGTGGTCCGGTAGGTAGTCGCACGCAGAGCGTGCCCCCCCCGGGAGGCTCCCACAGGGAGTCCCCCCCACGGCCACACGGAGCTCCAGCTGAGGCCGCAGTGGGCGGGCTTGCACACGCCACCCCGCTCGCCACCCACCAAACCACCCTTTAACTTGGCATCGCTCGGACGTGTGAATTTTTCCTTCGGCGAGGACCATCGAGGAGCATCCTTGATCATTTGGCGAAAAAACCACGCACGAACCCGAAAAAAACACAGGGAATGGACGTCCGAGCGATGGCCAGTTAACCCAACCCGAAGGCCCCGATTTGCCCGCTCCATTTCCAGTGGTGGGGGGGGGCGGGGAGCATCGAAAGACCACATGTGGAGCCCGTGCCCCCCCCCAAAAACCCGAAGTTCAGGCGGCATTCGGGTCTTCGGGTTGGGTGGGGGGTGGTCCGGTGAGTCGTCAACCTCGCCCACTTCGACACGCGCGGGTCGTGCCGCAGCATATGGAGCTCCACCTGCGGCCTTTCGCCGTCGCACCCCCTCCGCGCGGGCCGCGGGGCCTGCACGCGTCGGTGTATGTCCCGCAGGCGGAGGAGGAGGAGGAGGAGGAGGAGGAGGAGGAGGAGGAGGAGGAGGAGGAGGTGCGAGGAGGTACAAGGAGGCGCACGAGGAGGTACGAGGAGGACGCACGAGGAGGAGGAGGAGAGGAAGGAGGAGGAGGGAGGAGGAGGAGGGGAGGAGAACTAGGAGGAGGGAGGAGGGCGGAGGGGGCGGGGCCGGGTCGGGTCGGCGATGTCGTGGTCGTGGGTCTCGCCGCGGCGGGGAGGGCGTCGCTGGAGAGCGCTCTCCTCCCGCGCCCTGCCCTTGGCATACGGGGGCGGCGTTGCAACAAAATCCTTTGGGGGGCTTTGCGTCTGTGAGCAGACTGTGATGGGCCTGTTTTCCACCACCACCACCAGAAGTTGGAGGGGGGGAAGGAGGAGGAGGAGGAGGAGGAGGAGGAGGAGGAGGAGGACGACGAGGAGGAGGAGGAGGAGGAGGAGGAGGAGGAGGACGAGGAGGAGGAGAGGCGGAGGAGGAGGGGAGGAGGCGGACGACGAGAGAGGAGGAGGAGGAGGAGAGGAACCCCCTCCCCCTCCAACGTATGGTGGTGGTGGTGGAACACATGTCCATCAGGTTGTTCGGTTGGCGACCAGCGGAGCGACCGGGCGGAGGCTGCCAGCCGCCGTCGGCCCCCCAAGCGGAGAGGCTGCCAGCAGCTGGTCGTGCGGAAGCTCCAGCGCGGACTGGGGCGGAGGGTTTTCAACATGCTCCGCCAGGACGCCTCTCCTCCTCCTCCTCCTCCTCCTCCTCCTCCTCCTCCTCCTCCTCCTCCTCCTCATCCTCCTCCTCCTGCCCCGCTCGGCGGGAAGGGGAGAGTCGACGGGGGGAAACGTGCACTGGTCCATCCGACATTCGCACTCGAGCGCACGCAGTCCCCAGTCGGCTTCGAGAGTCGAAGTGTGGCTTGCCTGGGTGCATTCGCTTGCTTTTCGACACGTCGATGTGTTCTCCCGCCCAGTCCTCTCGGAATGCGATGCCGTGCGCACGTGGAATGCCCCTGGAAGTTTCCTCTGCAGGGCGTGTTGCTAAAGGGTGTTCTGTCAATCCTAGGTCACCCTGCCTGTGGTGCGCATCGGCAAGCGGGTGGTCTCCGCCCGCATGCTGTTCTCTCCTCCGTCGCCCCTGCGACAGGGCGCAGACGTCATTCCGGCGCGGCGGGCTGGGGTATGGGTGGCCCCCGCGGTTTGGTGTTCTCACTTTCGCGGCGCTGGGGGGGGGGCAAGTGAGCGTCAGGCATTCCAGTCCGTTCACCCCGCCCCGCCTCCTTGCACCTTCCCACCGCTCCTTCCATCCCCTTTCTCCCTCTCCCGTTCCCCCGCGGCCTTCCTCCTCGATCTCCCTAATTAGCGTATGAATCCGCTGGACCCCCTGGGAGCCCGCGAAAGTGCCGACGGTTGTCCAGCTGGCAGCGCTCAGGGTGGCCCAGACGTCTCCTGAGTAACCTGCGCAGGCTTACCCCTCCCTTTGCGAGATTCCCTTTAGGGAAGCTTTCTGGCAGACGTCCCGAAAGTCCCACCAGGAGACTTTTTCACGAATCATCCACCGAAGGTGTTCCCGCGGGACCAACCCTGGAATCACATCAAGAATATGTGTTTCTGGAGACTTCCGCAATCCTTCCCAGGAGTCCACATTGGATGCCACCCACCTTGTAGCTAGCCACGCTCATTTTGCTCGTGGTCGCATTCGTGACTCAGAGCGACGCTCTTGCGTTCACGTTTGCCATTAACTCGTTCTTCCCAGTCTCCCGATTCCGCTCCCCTTCCTGCTCTCCGCATCTTTGCGACAGAATGCATGGCGGGGCGTCGCTGGGTACTTCTGTTCCTTCTCAAATGGCTCCCGCGAAACCAAATCCGAGTCGTCCGATCACGCATCCAGATTCCAGACCATGTCGATATCCGAGCCGGGCCGGGCAGTTGCGCGACGCAAAGCACGGGCCGTCTGCGCCGACCATTCGTGCGAGAGCTGCCCGCGCAGGGTCGCGCGTAGGCGCCCTCGTCACAAAGGCAGCGTGCCGCACGGGCGGCCCGCGTAAGCCATCGCGTAAGGTCCCTATGCCATCTCGCGTAAGGACCCGTGTCTTCTCGGGTCGGGCGAAAGGGGGGGATTGGGAAAGGGGGGGTTACGAAATTTGCTGCATGCAGCTGGTTTCGGCCCCACCGAGGGGCCCATTCCTCGATACATGGCCGCCTCCGGCGCCGGGAGGCGCCGGGAAAATCAGCTACGCGAGCTGATTCTCAAACCCCCCCTTTGCTATCCCCCCCTTTCGCCCGACCCGATCTTCTCGTCTCTCACGTGAACTCCCAGGACCGTCAATGATGCCTGTTCTGGCGCAGGGACGTCCGCGGAGGGCCCGGGGAGGCACAGGGAGGGCGAGGGAGGCGGAGGCAGAATGGGGGGCCGAACAAAGAGGTCCGCGCGAATTTCTCGGATCGGCGCTGGACTCCCCTCCCTGGCGCGCGGAGCGCGCCAGGAGCGGCGCCGGAGGCGCCGCCATGGGGTCCAGCGCCGATCCGAGAGATCTGCGCGGACCTCCGAGTTTTTGTTGCTTATGTCACTGTTTGTTCCATTACAGGGGGCCCCCTCCCAGAGAGAGAACTGCGTGTTTTTGAAGCCGGCTCCAGCTTAACAAACATGCAGTTAGAATTGCGTGTCTTCGAAGCCGGATGCGGGTTGAAAGACACGCAGCTCCCTCGGCCTCAAAATCACGCAGTTCTGTAAAGGCCCGTTTACTTCGCCTCGCTCAGCCGGCGGTGAGGCCGCCCCCCCTCGGCGGCGGCCGTGCTGCCCCGCTGAGTCCCGCCGCCTCTGCCTTGGCGTGCGGCCATTCGTGGAGGGGCATTCGGCCTCCTTCTCCCCGCCTCCGTTCCCCCCCCCCAGGAGGAGGAGGAAGGAAAGGAAGAGGAGGAGCAGGAAGGAAAGGAAGAGGAGGAGGAGGAGGAGGAGGAGGAGGAGGAGGACCATGGCAAGAGGAGGAGGAGAAAGTAGAGGAGGAGGAGGAGGAGGAGGAGGAGGCGGAGGAGACGAGGGGAGGGATTGCTACGTCTGGGTGTATTTCTCGTGGGCCAGGAGGAGGAGGAGGAGGAGGAGGAGGAGGAGGAGGAGGCAACACCACTTGTGACATCCATGCCATCAGCGCCCAGCGCCCAGGAGGAAGAGGAGGAGGAGGACGGACGCTACGATCCCAGCTGATCTGAGCTTGCCTAAGTGACGTCAAACATGGGGAGGACCTGGACGAGGAGAAGGAGGAGATGGAGCAGGAGAAGGAGGAGAAGGAGGAGTAGGAGGGAGGGGAGGAGGAGGAGGAGGAGGAGGAGGAGGAGGAGGAGGAAGAGCAGGAGGAGGAGCAGGGAGGAGGTCGAGGAAGAAGGAGGACGGTGAGGAGGAGGAGGAGGAGGAGGAGGAGCAGGAGGATGAGCAGGAGGAGGAGGAGGAGGAGGAGGATGAGGATGAGGATGATGAGGTTGATGAGGATGATGAAGATGATGATGATGAGGAAGATGAGGAAGATGGGGAAGCTGAGCAAGATGAGGGAGATGAGTGAGAAAGATAAGGCATCTGAGGAGCGTGAGGAAGATGGTAATGATGATATTGATGATAATGATGATATTGATGATCATGATGATGCTGGTGCTGCTGATGATGATGCTGATACTGGTGATGCTGATGATAATGATGTTGATGATGCTGATAATGATGCCGATGCTGATGCTGATGCTGATGCTGATGCTGATGCTGATGCTGATGCTGATGCTGGTGCTGATGAGGACGGGAAGAAGGACGAGCTGGAGGAGGTGGAGGAGGAGGACGAAGAAAGGGGAGGATGAGGACGAGTAAGGAGGTGGACGAGGAGGAGGAGCAGGAGGAGGAGGAGGAGGAGGAGGAGGAGGAGGAGGAGGAGGAGGGGAAGGAGGAGGAACAGGGAGATGACCCAGAGCTCCGACGATCCCTAGATTTCGACTCGTGGGGCCCGCCATCGGCCCCCAAGACCATCACGAGTGGATCCAGGGCGGCAAAGTGCCCCAGGGGAAGGGGTTGGGAGCTCGGAGGCCGCGGAACGAAAAAGTCAGATCGGAGGTTGTCGGGGAAGAGGCGTTGGAAGTCTGAGCGAGAGGATGGTGATGATGATGATGATGATGATGATGCTGATGATGATGATGATGATGATGATGATGAGGATGAGGATGAGGATGAGGATGAGGATGAGGATGAGGATGAGGATGAGGATGAGGATATGATGATGATGATGATGATGATGATGATGATGATGATGATGATGATGATGATGAGGAGGAGGATGGAGGAGGAGGAGGAGGAGGAGGAGGAGGAGTCGCGGCCGGAAAACATGTCCGTATTCATTGCCTCGCGGGCCGTGCCCCCTGGACCGCTACCCCGTGAATGCGGGGCGCTACTGTCGCGATGCCCCGCGCGGAGCGTATGCGTGCGTCCGCGTGTCCACGGGATCGCGCCCCGGAATCCAGACCACCAGGGCGTGGATATGGATATTTCTCGCCGATTGCGCAGGAGAAGGAGGAGGAGGAGGACGACGAGGATGAGGAGGAGGAGGAGGAGGAGGCATGAGGGGCGGGGGGTGGGAGGCCACAGTGGTTTGCGTAACCGTGCCCGATGCTCCTACGGTCGCTCCGCCGGTTCTGGCCCGCCACGCTGCGGCGCGGCACGCTGTCCATGTCCCCGTCCGCAGGCGTCAACGTCCCGAGCCTGCCCGATCCCCCCTCCCCGTGGAGCGGAGCGACACGCGGTCCACTCGCAGGGCATGCAGCGTGCTGCCAGGGCCGCCGCCGCGACGCGCCGAGCACGCGTTCCCGACCTAAGGGGCCACATGCGAACCCTACCCCTACCCCCCACGACTTCTAAGGGGCAGGGTGGGGTTCACTTCGTTCGGGGAGGGGCTCCGCGTTCCTTGGGTGTTTCACATCTTGCCTCAGGCTTTCCTTGTGTTTTCGACCGGAAGTCGAAGGTTAACTCATGGAAAAAGGGGGCCTCGTTCCTTATTTGGGGTTCCTTATGTCAACGCCCCGACTGTACAGCGTGCTGCCAGGGTTCCCGACCACAGCCCCTCGCAGGACGTGAGCTCGGTCAGCGCCCTGCTGCTGGCGTGCGAGGGCGGGCACGCGCCCGCCAGCCTCTTCCGGGCCGAGGCCGCGCGGCTCGCCCGCGGAGCCGCGCGCGCCGCGGGGGGGGGGGCCTCTTGCTGCTCTGCGGCTGCCGCGGAGCGGGCTGGCCAGCGCGCCCACGGATCGGCTTTGCTCAGGAGGGGAAAAAACACGCAGACACAATGAATCGTCGATCCCCCAAGAAATTATGGGAAATTATGGGAAGTGGTGGGGAGGACAAAGACCCAGAAAGTATGGGAAACTATGGGGGATTCTTTTATTTGTGTGTATTTTTTGGTGTGTCCTGGGGCCCCCTTCATTTGCGCACCGTCAGCCCGCATAGTAAGGATGGGTAGCCTTCCCGAGGGTGCCCCTTGCCATGGCTCGTTTCAGTTCCTCTGATGCCGAGCCGGTTCGATGTCTCGATCGCCTCCGATTCCGAGTCGATTCGACTTCGGATTCCGATTCGGATCCCGATTCTTTACTGGAGACACACCAGCCTGTCGAGTTCCTCCTATTCGATTTCTCCCGATTCGACTGCCGATTTTTTCCGACCCGATTAGTTTCGATCGCCGATCCGACTTATCGCTTCGATTCTGGGCTCTCCTGCTCTTGCATCCCTGCCCCTTCGGCCCATCCTTGGCGACTTTCGCTGGCCAACCTCGATCGGAAAACGTGAACATGGCCCTCCAAGGCCCGTGCATCCTCACGGTGGAGGCGTTTGCCAAGGAACAGCCCCGGGAGGCGCTGGACCTTGGAGGATCCCTTATCCGATGAGGACGGCGGTGATCATAACCAATCCACGAGTGGAGTTCCGCTGGCTTCCAGACCCTGGGTTCCTTGTCGAAGGTGTCCTTCTCCGATACCGTCACCGCACCGCGCATTCACCGAGCCCTCTCCACTACTCGCAAAGTGCCTACTCGCGAACGTCCGAAAAACACGTGTCCGCTTTGATGTTATTCTATCGTAGATCCTCCTCGTGGGATCCAGGCCTTGGTGGGCCCTGGAAACGACAGGGCCGTTTTGTTACCGGTTCCGTTTTGCCGTTTTTTTGCCGGTTCCGACGCCGTCTTTTTCGCTGGTTCCGTCGCCGTGTTTTGATCGGTTCCAGCTCCAGCTCCAATCCTGGAGCCTTTTTTTGCCGTTTCCGGTCGCCGTTTTTTTGCCGTTTCCATTCTCAAGGGACATGTTGGGGGAAACGGTGAAAAAGCGGCCCTGCCGTTTCCCGGGCCCACTAAGGTGCTGCCCTTCCCCCCCTTGGCGCGGGCGGGAAGTGCCCTGACAGGAGAGCAGCGCGGGCATGAGAGGGCGGGGAGAGCTCGAGTCGTCGAGGGCCCGACGACCTTTGCGAGCAGTGGAGCGCGCTTGTCTGCGCATGCTTGTGGGGCTGGCCAGCGGTAAAGAGAGCCCTCTTGGTGCGGGCTCGCAGGGGTCCCCCCCCCCCGGCGCAGGCCTGCGCGCCTGGGCGTGGCCCGCCTGCGGCCCCGTGAGGGCGCGCACCAAAGCCCACTCCTTGCCCATGCGCCTCCTCCCCCTCCTCCTCCTCCTCCTCCTCCTCTCTCCTCCTCTCCTCCTCCTTCCTCCTCCCCTCCTTTACCTACCTCCTCTCCTCCTCCTCCTCCTCCCCTCCTCCTCCTCCCTCCTCCTCCTACCTCCTCCTCCTCCTCCTCATCTCTCCTCCTCCTCCTCCACTCTCCGCCTCCCTCCTCCTCATCCTCCTCCTGCCTCCTCCTCCTTCTTCCCCTCCTCCTACCTCCTCCTCCTCCCCTACCCCTCCTCCTCCTCTCCTCCTCCTCCTCCTCCCTCCTCCTCCTCCCCTCCTCCTCCTCCTCCCCCTCCTCCTCCCCCTCCTCTCCTCTCCTCCTCCTCTCCTCCTCCTTCCTCCTCCTTCCTCCCCCTCCTCCTCCTCCTCCTCTCCTCTCCTCCTCCTTCCTCCTCCTCCTCCCCACCTCCTCCTCCTCCCCCTCGAGCCTTCCCCTCCTCCCCCTCCACTTTTCCTCCTCCTCCTCCTCCTCCTCCTCCTCTCCTCCTCCTCCTCCTCCTCCCCCTCCTCCTCAGCCTCCTCCATAGGATCCGTTTTAGGACACCCATAGGAGTCCGTGGGGAATCCACAGAATCTCACGACGTTGGTGGATGCTTTGCCCCAGCATCAAGGGGGCAAGTGCACCCCCAGCCCGCCAAGGAAGGAGCCACCAGGATTCGTCCCTGTGAGCCCCCCCCCAAACTTCCGTGCTGGCCGCTGCCTCGGGAAGCGGGAGCTGAGGTGGCCGCCGCGCACCGGCCGTAGTTTAGTCCTTCGCCGCGACACGCGCGTGTCGTGACGCGGAGCGGGCGGGTGGGCGGGTTGAGCGCCGCCGACACACGGCGCAGGCCGAAGAAACAAAATGATTCTAGAGCTGCATCTATGCGCCCTGCCGGCGTGCCTGTGGCAGATCTGGACGCAGAGAATTGCGCCCATTCCTCCGCGGATATCGCACGCTTTTGGTGCGATGCGTGCGATCGCATGTAATCGTCGCGGCCGGCGCGAAGGCGCGCTCGCAGGAAACGCGCCGCAGTGCGGCGGTCGTCGTTCGGTCGTGCGTCGCGCCGCGCCCTGTAAGGCGCCCTGTCGCGGAACGGCAGGCCCAACGGCCCCGTAGGGTGCCGTCTGCCCTGCGACGGCCCGCGCCTTGTACAGCGCCCTGCCAAGGAAGGGCAGGCACTCGGCCCCGCGGGGACGTCACCCCCCGAGCCTTGACCCAGCGACACAACTGGCGCCGACGAAGCCAGGCAAGGCCGCCTGCGGTGAGTGGCCAGCACGCTCGGCGCTGGCCATTCGCTGTTCGTCCCCGACGAGTAAAGCACCCGCGTCTCTAGACCGCCCGTTTTCCGAAAGGCTTCGCCCTCCTCCGAACAGGGTCAATCTCACGACGTTGGTAGATGCTTTACCCCAGCATCAATGGGGGCAAGTGTACCCCCCGCCCACCAGGGAAGGAGCCACCAGGATTCATCCCTGTGAGCACCCCTCGAAGCAGGCCCCCTTGAGGCGGTGTTCCGCGCAGCGGCGTGAGTTGGTGTGTTGCTTCTATATTTTCCCTGGAAGTTCGAGCGCTCTCGCGGCGGGCGTTTTCCCTCGCAAGCGTTTGCTTGGCCTGGCCGTCGCCTGCTCAGCAGAGTAGGAGGCCACGCTCTCGAGAAAACGCTGCATTAGCGTGCCCGGGGACGTGTCGGCGTAAGACTGACGCATGACATCTTCCGAATTCCACCCCCTGTGCCGTTTCACCATGTTCGGGGGTGGTTTTGCTACGTGCGTGAACCACTCCGTTCCGCCTCTACGAAAGGAGTGTGTACTGGTAGCGGGGTCCTTAAAATGGGCCGACACCGCTTTGCGCCACAGGTCAGCGCTAACAGGTTGGTGTCTGGGACCTGTTGTGGTGCAGAAAAAGACAGGCAAGTCCGACGCGTAGGCCGCCCGCCACTCTGCCCAATCCTGAATAATTCTCGCCGGCGAAAAACCGGCGACCTTCACGGAAGGGATGAAACACTATAGGTTTTTGTCGCGCGGGTCGTTTTTTTTTTGTTTTTGTTTTTTTTTTTCTGTTTCCAGATGAGGCAACAGCTCACGCGCGCGGCATTGAAGTGTACGTCCTCGGCGCGAAGGTTGAGCGCCGCCGACACACGGCGCAGGCCGAAGAAACAAAATGATTCTAGAGCTGCATCTATGCGCCCTGCCGGCGTGCCTGTGGCAGATCTGGACGCAGAGAATTGCGCCCATTCCCCCGCGGATATCGCACGCTTTTGGTGCGATGCGTGCGATCGCATGTAATCGTCGCGGCCGGCGCGAAGGCGCACTCGCAGGAAACGCGCCGCAGTGCGGCGGTCGTCGTTCGGTCGTGCGTCGCGCCGCGCCCTGTAAGGCGCCCTGTCGCGGAACGGCAGGCCCAACGGCCCCGTAGGGTGCCGTCTGCCCTGCGACGGCCCGCGCCTTGTACAGCGCCCTGCCAAGGAAGGGCAGGCACTCGGCCCCGCGGGGACGTCACCCCCCGAGCCTTGACCCAGCGACACAACTGGCGCCGACGAAGCCAGGCAAGGCCGCCTGCGGTGAGTGGCCAGCACGCTCGGCGCTGGCCATTCGCTGTTCGTCCCCGACGAGTAAAGCACCCGCGTCTCTAGACCGCCCGTTTTCCGAAAGGCTTCGCCCTCCTCCGAACACTGCCACTTCCCTGGAACATTCCTGTGATTCTCTAAGATATGCATCAGACCCCGAAGGGATTTCAAAGGATCCTTTGGGACATCCAGGGCCATTCCTGCGCGTGGTCGAATTGCCTGGGCAAGGCGCTCAGGCCAGACCAGACTTTTCGCGGGGGCCCCAGCGGGGGAAGAACGGCCCACCGCGGAAAAGAAAACTTTGCATAAACACGAATCGTTGGATTGAGGATTGCCAGGACGCGACAATCACATGCATTCGCAGTGCCACAGCCCCAGGAATGGTGAAGTCGTCTGGCTGGACTGTCTTGGGCCACCGCTCATAATCTGTCAGGCCGCCTGGGTCTGTCTGGTGCAATATTTGAGCCAACCTTCGTCGACCCGCGACCTGGACAGTCTCACTCCTGGGATGGGGCAGAGCGAATGGGGAGAAGGCGAGGACGATGACGATGATTTTGCTGAAGATGACGTCGACGACGGTGGTTACGAAAACTAAGATTGCGGCGTTTCTGATTACGACTCTGTGATAATGGTGATGATGGTGGTGATAACGGGGAGGACGACAGTGAAGCGGAGAAGGGAGTAAGATGACAACGGGACGGCGACGTTGACAAGATCGCTGACAGCAGGGCTCCCACCTTTCTGTTGCGCCTGTCTGATCGCAGACCCCCCTTCGAGGTCCGCAAGACCATCGTGCAGTGGCACGAGCGCCTGTCGGACGCCATTTCG